CCATGGCGTCCCGCCTTCACATACGGGGCACTAGCTGCAGCCATGTGTATATGACTTTGAAAAAGATGGTTTTCCTCGACAAGGCCGTCAACATAGAAGCTGCGTTTTTCGCTGGTCTCCCCACTGACCGCAAAAACCAAGCGTCGCTGGAATCAGCAGCTTCCGTCAGTATTTAGAAGATGCGCTGTGGTCAAACACGAGCCAAGGCGCAAGAAGGCCACTCTCGTCGCGGCACGCGTGTTCCTTTCCGATGACGAGTTCCTTGGTAGATGCCTTGCTGGCTGAGTTCAGTGCGTCTGCATCTGAGTAAGTTCTTGCTGCGCTTGACGGGGACCAATGCCCCAGCACTTTGTCGTTCCGGTCAAGGGCGACTTCTGCGGCACTGGTAGCAGGTGCAGATGTTGTTGGCGACAAAAACGAACAAGCTTTTCAAGGAGAGACATACTCCATCCCAGCAGAGTTTGCCGACGCTCACGTGGAGCAAGTGGAGTATGACCCACGGAATGTGCAGCACTGCAGCCTGTTAGGCGGGTTGCCCACCCGCACTGGGCGCGTCATCGGCAGGGTCAGCTACAGTAGACTGGGTGCAGTGAAGGGATCAGCGGGGATGTCAGACGTTTGGGTGATTTTGATGTTGGCTGCCGCAATATCTGAATTTACAGGCTCCGTGATTTTCCGTTTTCAAATGCGACGGGACTATTGGGATGTTTTCTGCTTCCACCACCAAGCCCGAGCTCCGAGAACTTGCACATTCTTCAGGTTGGTCGCGTCAGGCTCCGTTAGAAGGTGCTGCAGACAAACTGGCTGAGCTCTTGTACGCAGAACCCCTCCAGCTGTGTTGGTATGAGAGGCCGACAATTCGTTGGCACCGCCATTTCTGGGTTCCGTCTAGGGTTCCGTTTCATGCGCCTTCGGGTTTCGGCCGTAGGGTTCCGGACTTAGGGTTTCGGCCATAGGGTTCCGGACTTAGGGTTTCGGCCGTAGGGTTTCGGCCTTCGGGTTCCGGCGTCGGCAAAGGCCAAAAAAGTCGTCGGCCATGGGCAAGAATTCGTTTCGTTTTAGGGTTCCGTTTAGGATTCCGTGCAGGTTTCCGTTTAGGGTGCGGTTAAGGCTCCGTTTAGGGTTCCGTTGAGGCTTCCGTTTTGGGTTCCGTTGAGGGTTGGATTCCGTTTAAGTTTCCGTTCAGGCTTCCGTTCTGTTTCGATCACGGCTCCAATAGGTTGAGCTCTAAAATTTAAAATAGTCCGAGTTGTCAAATAACATTGCGAATACTGAAATAGTAGTCCGAGCCTGTAAAACAGAGAGGTCATTGTTGAGTAGACAGTTTCGAGCGGATCTATATGGTTTAATGAGTGGTTTCTTAAGGTTATGAGATTCTTTATATCACGACCGAAAGTACAACTTTACTATCATGCGGTTATGTTGAACCCTAAGCCCTAAACCCAAAAACCCTCAACCCTAAATCCCAAACCCCTGAACCCTAAACCTTCCCTAAACCTTAACCCAGTACCCCAGGCCAAGTTGCTCGAAAAACCCGACGTGAGGAGGCCAGGTCACATCCGAAAGACTCGGGCAACCTTGGCTTTCGGTCTCCTGGATGTAAGAGGAGCTCTTCGTGGCTCAGTCTTTCATTATGTTCTGTTGCACGAAAAATTCAGCAATGCATATAGACACCGTTTCTACACGTATATACAATATGGTGGTCCCTCTGTGTTTTCTGGGTTTAGGTAGAACGCCCACCGGCTCCTTGCAATCCTGCGGCCTTCGGAGGCCGCACCATGCAGGACGGGTGCGTCAGCCAGCCTGCAGGTGTTTCAAAAGCTGGATTTTCGAGCCTCGGAGGTCGTATCTGAGTCGTGTGCCCCAGGGCCCAGCATGTATCGGAAGGTGTTTAGGGTTCAGGGATGTACGGGTGTAGGTTAAGGATCTACGGGTATCGGGGTTGGTAACTTAGGCCCAAAGTAGTTGCGAAACCTCTGGTTTAGGACTTAACCTACCTTACGACTTGCCGTGGGTTCGTACTAGAAATCATCATAAACCATAATGCAGAGTTCATTGGGGCCCAACAAAAGTAGTTCTTGTAGGTGGAGGTAGGATGCCGGCAGGACTCCTTCAATAATTCGGTCGTTCGGGTTCCACTGTACATTTAGCGCCCTGGCATAATGTTATTTTTTGTCATCACTTTAGTCCAATATAGTCTATGCTAGTTCATAATAGTCGTTATAGTTCATAAGCATTAAATTATATCATAGCATCTTATGGTACATTATTGTATATTCTAATATAGTTTAGCCATATCGCAATTTCGCCTTCTCTTAGGACTTAAGCAGGTTTAAATAAACAGTGGCCTTGGTCGAGAAACCTCCCGAGCTAAAGCCTACCCCAGATCCTAAAGCCTCACTCCGAAACCGTGAAACTCGAAACCCTACACCCCTAAACCCTAAACCCCGAAGCCACAAAACCCGCAACCTCTCACCCGTGCAGCGTCATAGTACCCTTAAACGAACCCTCCCGTACCCATTGAAGGTTTAATTATGGAGGTGCCTAAACCATGAACTCCTCAATCTCGAAGCCCAACACCCCTGAACCTTAAAAGCCCTTCACAGGGCTGCGGATGGTCCGAGCCTACCATCCTCAAACAAGTATGCTAGCAGACGGTTTACGGTTTGCAGGGTTTAGGGCTAAGGTTTCAGGGTGTGGGAGTTTCCAATCAAGTACTGAAGCATTTGGTTTGGAGTTTGGGATTTCCGAGTAGGATTTACCTACTGGGTTATTCCCTACCCTTGTTTTATGGTGCGTACCTTTCTATTTTATAGCCCAGGTCCTAAGCTTTAAAACCAGGTGCCGCAAAATGGGGTAGGCTACAACCCTCAAGGTAGGGTTCGGAAACCCTAAACCCGAAACTAGACCTTATAGTTTCCAAGCCCAGCCTGAAGCTCGTCACTGCAAACCCCAAGCGTTTGATCGCTTTCTTAGACCTTCAACATTTCGGGGTTTCCATAACCCTACCATTGAACAGGTGATTCTGGACTATGCGACTCCTCTAAGAACCCCATGCATTTGATCGCCTACTTGGGGCCCTTACTTGGTTGAACCCGAACTCCTAAACTAAACCCTCACCCCTCACGTCACCTTGATATAGGGGCGAAAATAAATACTAATACTATTTTGGTCTCAAAACCCTATTCTAATTTCTAAGGCCCCTAAATTACTTATCCTAAACCTGAAATCAATCGAAGTCTTGAACTCTCAACCCGAAATCCTGAGCTCTAGAGCCCTACACACTTAGGGTTTAGGGTTCAGGATTCAGGGTTTAAGTTTATGGAGCAGGGTTTAGGGTTGAGGGTTTGACCCTGAACCTCTGCCAAACTGAAACTTAGATCTGCTCTTCGCCGCAACTTTCGGCTTAGCAAGGGATGCGTTTTGAGCCGGCGAGGCAGCTGTGCAAGAGGCAAGGATGCGTAGGCCCAATATAGGGGCCTTCTTAATTTGAATAGGGTTTGGGGTTTACTATACTATAGTTATGATAAGGAACCCCACAAAACCCTAAGGCCCCTATATTAGGGTTTGAGGGTATCGCACATGTTTGTACAGCTTCGTAGATTGATGCTTTGAGGAATCGGGGCATTTAGGGCGAATGTTTGTGGGCCTCGGTTCTTAGTGGAATCTGGGTTGACGGGCTTGTGTCTTTAGAGAATAGGGCCTAAGGGTCTTTCACGAAGTCGCAGTCTTGCAATACGGTTTCGGGATCCAGTTTAAGCCTTGTAGAGTGCATAACTACGGGAGTGTCCGCATGTCAGATCCTTACTGGAGGCTGCCAGTAGACATTCGCATGTCGGCGACAGTTCTACAGTGAAAACTTGTTGAAGCCCGGACCCTAAACCATATAATATGTTTGCTGACTCGACCGCTTGCAACCAACAGGAGATCTCGTGGAAGGGCCAGTAGCCTGCAGTCTCCGAAGCGCGCATTTGTCACAATGAACCGTCTAAACCCAAAAAGCCTAAGTCCCAAGCCTGAAGCCCTAAGGACGAAACCCTAAACCCAAAACCGTAAGTCCCTGCCAGTTTGAACACATGCATGCGTGCATACATATGCACATACATACATCTGCACATACAGACACATGACACGCAGACACGGATACACACATACATTTTCATACACACGTGCAGACATACTCACATGCACACATGCATAAATGCCTGCACACGTGCACCCTTCCATCCACATCCATTTATCCGTTCACATACAAGGCTTCAGTTACGTTTGAATTTACATGTGTCCATGTATGCATGTATGTGTGTGTGTGTGTTTTTCTGTATGTCTGTAGCTATCTAGGTAGGTATGTAATTAGGTAGTTATGTATATCAGATGTGTGTGTGTGTGTATGTATGAATGAATAATGTATGCAAATGCAGGGACGAAGTATGTATGTGTACGTATGCATGTATGTATGCACGTACGCATGAATGTATGTATGGTGAAGCGGTTCAGGGTTTCAGGTTAAATCTAAGGGACTAACCCACAAACTCTAAACTCTAGGTGGCTCAGCAGGAGTTTCCGAAAATAGGGGACCTTAATATGGCACCCTAAACAGTAGGATCCTCATTATAAGGACTCCCAAAAAAGGTACCCCTAATTTTCGGAAACTCCCAAATCCCTGCTTTGATTCCCAAGCCAGAAGCTCGCTTCACCTGTGCCCTGCAGCATTTTGCGGCTCACGAACCCCCCCTCCCACCACCCAGCCCTCGACCACAAAACCCTGGTGCCAGTTCCCGTGCCCCGAACCACGCAAAACAGCCGCCCTAAACCATTAAACCTTAAATCCTCTAGCCAACCCGACAGCACAGACAGCCCAACACCCTTTGACAAAATGAGGAAGACATCTTGAAATCAGCCACGGGGTCCTTGACATTATGCGGTCGACCCCGGATTTTTCTGGCCCTCGGAGGAGCCTTTAGAAGCGATAGGCTGAGCGATCTTGCGCCAAGCAGAAGATGAGCGCCTCTGTCAGCATTCAGAAGTTTCGAGTTCAGAGTTGGCCGTTCACCTAAACCCCTAAAACCCCTTATACCCAAACTAAACCCCCTAAAACCCCTTATGCCCAAATTCCCAACTACCCTCCGATATACCCGACTTTAGCCCTCGAAGGCCGTGGTGCAGGTAGACCGAAGCAGCTTAAACGAAAAGCCTGGAGGCTTCAGACCCAACTACAGCGCCGAGAAGAGTTGGATCTGTAGCGAGCCGTAGTTTACGGAGCACAAGCTGCAGGGTTCCTCCATTCCCAGAGACTCCAATATCCCTTAACAAAGGAATAATCCTTAAATCATATAAGGGGATCCTACTATAATTTAAGGTATATTCGTTAATTAAGGGATATTGGAGTCTCTAGGTTCCTTTCATAGCGAGTGCAATTAACCCCTAAACTCTCTTAATTGAACTAAAGCCCTAGAAGACAAGAAAGCGATACACTGAGGCAAACGGTCGTCTGGCCACCACCATGAGAATGGAGAGCACCACTGGAGGCCGCCATTCTCGGAGTGTGGGTTCTGAGTCGCGTTTATGTGGGTTACTAGCTTTATTTTTAGAATCAGTCATTATGAAGAGCGGGCACCTTAAAACATGGGTACTTGGAGGTTCATGGGTAGTTATAAGTAGGGTTATAAGTCCCCTAATATGGGCTAGGAGTATAACTAGGGGACTTATAACCCTACTTATAACTACCCATGAACCTCCAAGTAGGGCATGACCCTATACGTACTGTTTCAGTTCAAGTACTCGGGCCCTCACGGCCTTCTTTGCTCTTACATGACAAGGTCTTGGGTGTAGGGGTTCAGGGTTTAGGGGTTTAGGGGTTTAGGGGTTTAGGGGTTTAGGGGTTCAGGGTTTAGGGGTTTAGGGTTTAGGGGTTCAGGGTTTAGGGTTTGGCATTTTGATGTTTCTTTAGGGTCGCTCTTGCTTTCTTTTGGGGTCCCCTTCGAAGTGCGCAATATCAAGAAAGCATACTGTTTTGAAGAGGCTACTGGGAAACGAGGCAACCTCACTAGCTGTTGGATTTGTCTTAGTGCGTGTATCCTTCCATTCGGCCAGCACTTGTCAAACCTATAGTACACGATGCTATCGGACTAGCGTCTTACGCGTCATTGAACATTTCATTTTGAGCTGACTTCCTTCACACCGACAGCCCTGAAGCACCAAAACCCAGCACTCTAGTTTCAAAGGACCGGCACACTTCGTGCGGACCCAAAAAGGGGCCCTCAACAAACAAAACCAGAGGACCATCTTCTCCGTCGCCCTGGAGAACACCTGGTGTCCAGACCTCCAGGCACACAATTGGGGGAGACCCCCCTAGCCCTTAACGGGGGAATAGAGGAGTCTGAAGACTACAAACCACCACCCCGCTCTCTCTCTCTCTCTCTCTCTCTCTCTCTCTCTCTCTCTCTCTCTCTCTCTCTCTCTCTCTCTCTCTCTCTCTCTCCACACATATACAATATCTGATGTAAAACTATGTGTGTGTATATATATATATGTAGATATGCGCATAACCAACATCCGGCCCAACACATTTTGGTCAAGGGTCTATAATAAGCTGTCAGGCTTGAGGGCAAAGGGCTACTCCACAGTTTAAGAGCTTAGGCTTTGTGGATTTATAGGGTCTAGGCCAAATCGATAATTACAACCTTAAGGCAATGAACCTAAACCCTCATGTACCCCCAGTACTACCCCCAGTAGTACCAACGTCTATTACTATTAGTATCCTCATAAGAAATCCTTTACAGGAACCCTTTTGGCGATCAAGGAGGGGACTGCGAATCCCGGTCCGAGCCGAGCAAAGCAAAGCAAAGTGAAAGCAACTAGAAAACTTTGAGGCGTCCGTGGTTAAGGATGAAGGCTTTGAGGGTTAGGGGTTAGAGTGTGCGTGGCAGGTCGCGTGCTGGTTAGCGCGCAGTAATGTGCATGCGCGCCGCTACTCACAACGAACACAGCCAGGTAGCCGAGCCAAAACCCTCTAAACCCTAAACCTCCACCAAGTTAACTGCAATGCTTGTGGAGTTCCAGGGAGGAGCACAACACCAGGCTTCACAGCGGGGACGGCGGATGGCAAGAAGTCCTAGTTTGAAGGGCCTTTGGGTTTGGGAGGGTTTAGGGGTTGGGGTCTAGAGTCTAGGGCTTAGGCCCTAAACCCTAAACCCCTAAACCCTAAACCTCTGCTTCGGGCATGGGACACTCGCTAGCTGAAAGCAGGAGAACCAAGCAGAGATCTGCGTGACATTCGAGAGCTGAACACTAAAAACCTGAACGGTTTAGGGGTCTAAAACTTTAATATAGCGGCCTCAAGAATTACCTATACTATTTTGGGGGTGCCTTGTTATAACTGTAGTATAATGGGCCCCAAACCCCAATTCTAATTATCAAGACCCTTGTGCTAAACTCTCATAATGCCACTTATAGTAATCCTTATGGGCCCCTTTACCAGGAACCATTAATAAGGAGCCCTATATTCGAATTATTAATGCCCCTAAACCCTAAAACCCTCAACCCCAAACCCTAAACCCCTAAAACCCACTAAGTCTTTACGAGGAACCCTTAACCTTAGCCCTTATTCCCTTTTTTTAGGGTTCAGGTCCCCTTATAAGCCCCTTTAAACCAAAAAGGGCACCCTTTTTGTTCCTAGGTTACTCTTGGGTCTAGTTAAAGTAACCCTATTCAAACTATGACAGCCCCTCTCTTACGTCCCAGACCCCGAGCTGGGATTGGGATCGCCGGAGTCCGCCGGAGTTTGCTCCGGAAGCAGAGTTCATAACTCAGCTTAGGGCTTAGGGTTTTAGGGTTTAGGGTTTTAGGGTTTAGGGTGTAGGGTTTAGGGTTTCAAGGCTTTAGGGTTTAGGGTTTTAGGGTTTAGGGTTCATGACTCAAGCTTTCAAGCCTGAGAAAGATGTACAGGAAGCCATTGAAAAGCTCCCCATGGAGGATGATGACAGGTGGGGACCCCGATCTGCCACGTCCTATAGACCATGTAGGTTTAGTGTAACCAATCTCGAAGCATTACTTGGATTATCATGTGACTTAGGAACTAGGGTCGTAAGCAAGGTAACTACAGTTACAACTACTTAAACCTTCAGCTAGGTGCTTGTAACCTTACATAGCTAAGTCCTATGACCCTCCAAGCAAGCCCCAAGTTTTCGCATCTCAGACCCTACCTTCTGAACCGATTTGTCTTTGGAGACCTACTCGAGTTGACGGAATTGGGGTTGTTGGATGAAGGGTTCAGAGTTCATGATTGGTGGTTTCCCACCCTTCCAGCGGCTACAGTATATCGGGTTTTCGGCAGATTTGCCGATAGTATTCCACAAGGTTCCTTCGTATGATCATACTGCGACTTACCGCACAACCCTAGTAAAGATTATTAATTCACTCCTCTATGCTCCAATATAGGTAGCTCTCTAAAGTAGGGTCCGTTGTTAGGTCCCCTAAACAGTACGGCACCCTCGTAACAAGGACCCTGACCCCAATTTAGAGAGCTACTCGTATTTACCAGCTTTCTAAGATACTCAGAACCCTAACCAAACCCGACGGCACCAACTCCTGAACCTCGAGTTCAATCCTTGTGGGGCTCATTTTTGCCAGGGTTTGCAAGGTTCCGGCTCCCGGGATGTGGTAGCTGAGTGGGGATGGTATTTGGAGGGTCGGGGGACTTAGTAAGTAGGTAGTAAGTGGACTTATAAGTACCCTAAAGGGTACCCTAATTGGGGTTATGGTACTTATAATTCCCTAAAATAACCAGTTACGAAGCCCCCCGACCCTCCAAGTATGGCACGTTTAAACTATTTGTGCTTTTGTTGCTCTACTCAGAATACCTTCAGGCAATGCGAGCGACGAGCTTTTGTTTGTTTCCTTTTCGCATTCTCTACCCTGTCGTCATTTACTTCTGTCCTCTTGGCTAAATCGTTCACACACAGCAGGTGTCCTGGTGGACTGCTCCGGCCTGGGTCACGAGACTTTGTACATGTGCCAAAGGATTGGCACTAGGATGCCGTGACTGTTTGCGGATTTCATGTACGGGCCTTAACAATCAAAATAGGTGTTGGGGGAATATTATACCATAGTCATACATAATAAGGAACACCCCAAACCCTATTCTAATTGTTAAGGCCCCTACATTAACACCCACGCGTTGCATCGGTCCCGCCTCCTCCAGCTCGGAGCAAGAAAAGACCGGGCGTTCGCCGTTCGCCAGCTGTCGACCTTGTCGAAAGCAACAACGAAGAGCCGGTCCATGACAAATCAGGGGTTTAGGGTTTAGGGTTTAGGGTATTTTTTTCGGGTGGGATATCCCAAACTTCTTGGCTTACTTAAGGGCGGTAATATGGGAGAGCCCAACCTTGGGGCGTTTGTTTACTTGCTTTCTTGGGTCCGTAGCAAAGCTGGCCCAAGCCCCCTTGCGAAGACAACCAAATTTGGAGCCAAAGAGGCTTAACTGTTAATGCATCCTACTTGGAGGATCAGGGGACTTAGTAAGTAAGGCTATAACTAACCCATTTGGGGTTATAAGTAGGTATAGCTATATTATGGTTATCCTATTGATAACCCTAGTTACTAAGTCCCATGATCCGATATTTCGGTGGTTCCTTATTGCATTCATAGTATAATATGCCCCAAAAACCCTATTCTAATTATTAAGGCCTTTATAGTAACTGTTAATGAACCGTAGGGAAGAGCTCTCTCAAAAAGGTTGGTTACCTACACCAGGACCCCCCCAAGGGCCCCTTTAATAGAGCCCTTATGGTTCTTAACAGTGGGTATTAATGGAGATACAAGAAGAAGCTAGGTGTGGGGGGTCTAGGTTTTCCCACCGTCTCCGTTGTAGTCCCTGAAAAAAAACCAGTTTTATGGTTAGAATCCTATAATTGCCTATAGTATAGTTTTTGGTTAACCAGAAAAGGAACTACAACGGAGACTAGAGGTACCCTCATCGAACCCTTGAAACAGCCCGGAGAGGAACCTTGAGAGGGACCCCTCGGAAAATCCTTCCGGAATCCTGCATGGGAAGCCTAAAAGGCGGAGCACTGAAGGAAGCCTTACTTGGAGGGTCGGGGGACTTAGTAAGTAGGTAGTAAGTAGACTTATAAGTACCGTAAAAGGGACCCTAATTGGAGTTATGGTACTTATAAGTCCCTAAAATAACCAGTTACTAAGTCCCCCGACCCTCCAAGTAGAGAAGTCCGTTAAGGCAGCTCCTTTGCGATCAGCTGAACTTCTTCAACCAGGCCTGTTCTATCAGAGCGTGTTGGTCATTTGAGTCGGTCCAACCCAAGCCACAACCCTAAACCCAATATACCCTCAGGCAAAACCCTAAGGTGGGTGTCGGGGTTTTAGAGACTTTGAGTTCTGCGATGTGGAGCTTTTGCGGCTCCAGTCTTATCTACAGACTGCAGGCATGTAGGCTCTGGGTGTTTAGGCTTTACCTTAACCTACCAAAACCTACAAAAAAGTAGGGTCCCTATAAATTCCATATTGGGGTTTATAGTATAGGGTGTTCGGGACTTTCCGGTTTTCGCCTTGTGGGTCTTGAGACAGATAGGGTTGAAGCATCGGGTTTAGGTTTCAACACTGCTGCTGCTCTGCAGTAGAAGCCAGAAAGTTGGAATATGATTATCCTAACCCCTTTAAGGTAAATTATAGGGGATCCTGCCATTATTCCATATTCCAACATTCTGGAGTTCCTTTTAGTGGCACTAGAAGACACCAGCCCTGGAACATGCAAAATGAACATCAACCTTGTATGATGTTCCGCTAACACGGTTGCCACTAGGGACATTGCAAGGGAACTGAGTCACCAAGGAGTACCACGTTTGCTGCACATCCTCGCAGTACCCCTATCCTTAATTACTATAAGAGCCGAGGCTGAAAACTTCACATTGGACCGTATGTAGGTATGCATACATGCATGTATGTAGGTATGTATGTATGTACATCTACATGTACATTTGTACATGTACGTCTACATGCACACTTTTTACATTTGCATGTACACATAAATCTACACATGCAAAGACCCATGCATAGACGTTTGCATTTACATCTACATACAAATATACACATGCATGTACATGTACATTTACATATACATATACGTATGCATGTACATATACATGTACATACACATATATATATATATATATATAAATATATATATATATATATGTACATACACATGTATGTATTCAGATATGTGTACCTCGTAAACGACATGGCCGTTTTGGGCATCGACAGGAAAGAACCTTGCTTGCAATTCCCACATGGCCCTAAAGCCTCAACCCCTTAAAGCCTTAGATCCCTGAAGGACTTGCTTCTTTCAGTTCTCAAGCGCGGCAGCACGGCACTGCGGGCGTACCATGAGGAGCATCCGGAGTACCTGCCACTGGGCTCTGAGCCATCCTGTGGATGTTCGTGTTTAGGGTTTAGGGATGTTCTGTCTGCAGTGGCATCCGCAAGTTTATCGGATTCGACTGCATGAGTTGCAGCGAGGGGTCCAATGTGATGGTTGCGAGGTGGCGTGATATGTAGCTGTTTTTCGCGAATCTCTGACACACACAGCACACAGGAAAGTCGCATTAATGTGCCACAAAAACGTGATGCTTGTCCTTCGAAATACGTAACCACCCTGGATTGTTATAAAGGCTTAAAGGATTCATGCGTGGCTCTCACTTAGGATGGGAAAAATTGCGTGACAGCTTTTATTGATTGCTCGTCGGACATGTTAGCCCGTGCCACTGGCAGCACGTTCAGCCGATTGCAAGACTTGTTTGGAGGTTCATGGGTAGTTATAAGTACGGTTATATGTAGGATAACTATACTTATAACCCGCATTAGGGGGACTTATAGCCCTACTTATCCCTAAACCCTAAACCCTAAACTAACTACCCATGAACCTCCAAGTGTGGTGACACGGTGGCGTAGCTGCTCCTCGCCTGATCGAGCAGAGACCGATGCCCTGAAGCCCTGAACACACCTTCACCCCAAGGGTCGCATTAATGAAAGGCCTAGGTTCCCCAGCGCGGAGTAAGGTTTAGGGCTTAAGGGGTTTAGGGTTTAGGGTTCTCTCTCCTACATTGTAAGGCCTTAATATCTAGACTACGGTTGATGATATAAATCCTGCATTACCTTAAGGACCCTAAACTATGGGATTTATGGTATATTCCTTAATATGGATAATGCAGGATTTATATCATCAACCGTAGGGGTTCCTTTTGAAGGGGTCTAGAAAGGATTGGCCGCTATAAAGGGGTATCGTCTCTCTCCTTAGCCATAAGGGTCCCAGTACCTACCCTTATTCCCTTTTTGTAGTCCTAGGTTCCTTATAAAGTTACCCAATAACAAAAACGAGAGGCCTTTTTATTCTTAATATTCATATACTCCCCGAAATCCTAACCTACATGACTTCTATCCCAAAACCGAGTACCTAATTATTGGGTCCTTTTTGGACCCTTGGGGGGAGAGTGGGGAGGGACCCTGCAGTACCCTAAGTAGTAGGATCTGCATTATAAGGACCCCAAAATAAGGTACCCCTATTTTCGGAAACTCCTCTGTGAGAGTCCTGTGCACCCGAGGTCGGTGATCTACAGTTCCCTGTCTGCGCTATAAAGCTTTGCGCTGATGTGGGGGACGTTTTGGGTTCAGTGTTGTGGAGTTTGGGGCATAGACTGGGACTTAGTGCGTAAGGTTATATGTATGTAGTTGTCCTCCCAAGTCTTAGTAACTAAGTCCCTGAACCCTAAACCACCTCCTAGTTACGAAGTGCCATGATGCTCCAAGTAAGGGGGTCGGGACATCTCACGAGCTTTTAGTTGGGACTTACAAAGCTTGGAACCTGTGAACAGCACGTTAAATCCTGCAGCACCTCAATGGAGGAACCTGATTAAGAAACCTTGGGCCTTTATTCGGGTTCCTGATACGAATCCTACTGTTTTGGGGTTGTAGGCCCAGGGTTTCTTAATCAGGTTCCTACATTAACCAGTCTTTAAATGCAGACTCTAAACCCTAAGCCCTAAACCCTAAACTCTAACACAGCGCCCTGAGTGGGGAGGGTCTATCTTTACGAAGACTTCTATAGGGTCCATTTAAGGGCCAACCCATCTTCTAGGAATCCCAACTGTTTATGGTTTCCGGGGTTTAGGGTTCAACCCAAACCCTAAAATAGTAAAACCGAAGCCTTCATGACTCAGTTTGAGTCTTTCGGTTCATTATCCAGCGTCTTACTGTCAAGGGTCACTACAGTCATAGACTGGGCTTTGGAGTACCATACTTTAATACTTTTTTGGGACCTGTCACTTAAAGGGAACCAACTATGAAATTAAAGTCCATTCTTTTGTCTCCCTGGTTACTTCAAAGCTCAGTAGAAGTCTTCCGAAGTCCCTTACCTTCTCCAACGCAACCTAACCACCACAACCTCAAACCGACATCGTAAGAAGAATAACAATAATATTCTGAGTACTTAAGATTAATACTAATAATAGTAATGATGGTAATAATAGTAATAATAGTAATAATAGAAATAATAGTAATAATAACCCTAGGCCGAAGGCTCAAACAGCTCACGAGCCCTGATACACCATTGGTTTTTGGGGGCCAAAAACCCCGAAATCATGAGCCCTTAGCTTTAGGCCCTGAACCCCAAAAAACCCTCATAGCCCGAAACCCTGAAAGGCCCCAAAACCCTCAAATCCTAAGCGCAAGAGCTCAGAAGCCGAGCTTGGAGGTGTGTCCTTGGGCCAACCGAATGTCTTCGAGCTCATCAACCAGCCTCTCAGCTGGGTTGTAGGCTTAAGTGCTTCCAGGAACTAGCACTAGATTGGCAATTTTCGTTACTATTGCTATTTCTGCTTGTTATTATGATCCAGTCTTATGTTGTCATATTGTCGATTCTTTTGTTTTTGATAATAAATCTCCGGAGGGGGTGCAAATCCCCAAAACCCTCTAACCCCACTTCCTGAGTATTTGGTTTGGTTTTGGGGTTTAGGGTTAGGTTTCTTCGGGATTTAGGGTTTAGGCTTAAGGTTGAGCAAGGGCTTATGATCTACTTGCCGGATCATGGGACTGAGTAACTACGGTGATACATGGCAAGAAATTGTAGAACTCCAATCATCGTACTTGAAGCTCTTTACTAAATCCCATGATCCTGCAAGCACGGCATTTGGGTCTACGCTTCGGGGTACCAGTTTGCTTCTCAGCCGGTTTGGGCCGTTTCAGGGTGTCAAACAGGGCCCTGAACACGTTGTACTAATGCTGCTCGTGAGTGTTCTTAACTCATCACCGCATAAAAGATCCCGAAACTCCATTCTGACGACTCTGCTCCTGTATGCACTCTACGGGGTTGCACAGGTATTGCACAAGCTACACAAAGAGCTTTCACTATAGCATCCAGGGTTCAGGGTTTGCGTGTGTAGGGTCGGGTGTAAGGGTGTATCAAAATAGAACACACTTAAACCCTGAGCCAAAATCACTTGGGGTTGTTTGAGGTGCGAATCGAACCTTAGCTTGCCTCGCCCAGTAGTATACTCGGGCCTGTGTACAATTTGTTCCGGACTTCTGCTTGTTATTGAACGAAGGGTTCAAATCTTCGTTCTCAGTGATTCAGTGCTTCTGACGTCCAGCGGCCTGTGGTTGCTCCCACTGTGTTCAGCGAGAGTTGTTGTTGTTGTGTTTGGGGCTGATGTTGGAGCATCTGTGCACATTCACCGGTTGGTTTTCGGCCACTCTACAATCCAAGATAGGCGCCCTGACAATGAGCAATAGTATCCCTCTGGGTTCCCGTGCACAGTTACAGTTTGAGTCTCCCCCCTGCCGCGCGCCCTAGTCTCATGATTTAGCCCCCGCGTCCCGCGATTCCCACAAGAAAATCCCTAAACCCTAAACCCTAAACCCTAAACCCTAATTGGCTCAAGCCATTTTGGCTCAAGGGTCGGGATTGTCTGTTCCGTGTCTCTGTCCTTGCCCCTGTTCGGTTCTCCGTCAGGCTTGCCACGCCATAGGCGGCTGCTGGTCTTCTCCGACGATAGAGGGATTCTCCGCAAGGTGGACGTGGTCGGCGGGGGGTGTACTTACTGGCAGAGCTCGGTTACCTGATTCTCCGCGAGGGCATGACTAACCCAGGGCAGGGCAAGAGGACCATTGACCTCTCAAAGGAGGCGGCGAAGATTCAGGTTCCTGATGGCGACGAAGGACTGAGCCCGGCTAAATCCAGGAAGGCCGAGGGGGGCGCTGGCATCACAGCCGCGGAACTTCAGAGGATGCTGGGCCAGCAAACAGACCAACTTGCCCGTGCTCAGACGGCCGCTGTTGACTCTGCAGTCTCCCGATTTGAGAAGATAGTGGATGACAAGGTATCGGTTGCCACTCAACGTGTAGACGGTCTGGAAGCCAAATTGGAGGCCTTGGAGAAGAGACTTGATGAAATGCATGCTGGAGGTGCACCGGGCAAAGTTTCCTCCGTGGGGGACGATCTCTCGAGACGACAGCGAACCTTGGTGTTTGGAGGATGGAACCGGGACACACGCCGGGTCGACTTGCTCTCGGAATTGAAGGATGGTCTTGAAAGCCTTGGGGTTGCCCCCATGATGGATGAGCCGCCCTTCACTACAGGGGCCAGACGAAGTATGGCATTGGCGGCCTTCCGAGAAAGGGCGAATGAGAGCTTTGCCGCTATGCGATCACGAATGCAGGCGGTGGTCAGGGCGTTTGCGGAGGCGAATGTGCAGGGGCGCCAGGGAAAGAAACTTTGGTGTAACTGGAGTAAGACCCGGCTTGAGCGTGCTCACTCCTCGCATGCAGCATGGATTAAGAAAGTGGTTGCAGGGGTTGACTCGGACAAGCTCGTGGACGTGGAGATCGAATGGAACCAAGGCAACGTGTGGGGGCCTATCTCCTTGATGGGGTCCTCTGCCTTGCCAATTCCCCCAGGCACTGACATGCGTGAGGTGATCATCCGGGATGACCTTGAGACCAAAGCCTGGGTGAGCTGGGGACTTATTGCCCGTGAGTTGAAGTTGGACCCAAAAGTGGTGAGGCAAGCTCTTGAAGACTCCAGGAACTGACCGTCCTCCAATGCTCTTGGTGAGCTCGAGAGTCCCGACATGAGTTTCGGGGTCTACGGGTGGAATGTTGGTGGCTCGGACGTTGGCGACTTGCCGGAGGCAGTACGCCACAGCACTGATGGTGCCTTCGGGAAAAGTGATGTCCTATTGCTGCAAGAGTTTCCGAGAGCCAAGACAGGGTGGAGCAGTGAACAGTGTGGTGGGTTGACATGTGTTACACACAGAGGGGCTGACATGTGGAGAGGGACTGGAGTGGCCTTCTACGCGACGGTGTGGAACGTCATTAGCAGACGGAGCAGTCGTCGTGGGGTTTGGGTACACCTTCGGCACCTCGAGAGTGGGAAAAGCGTGTGGTTCAGCAGTGCACACTTCAGCCCGGGGGTCACACAGGCGACCTATGAAGGGGAGGTGGAGGACCATTTCAAGGCGAGGCCCAGGGACCCCACCATGGTGATCTTCGAAGGGGACCTGAATGCAGGGTTCCGATGGTGTGTTGACCGCGAAAGGGTGGAAGGGGTGAGTCGGGAGGGCAAAGGGGAAATTTTCGCCAGGTACGCGGGGGAGGCGGACCTGGACTTCATACCCGTGCAAGAGGGTCAGAGGGAGACACCTACCAGCAGACCGAGACAGAGTGGCAGACAGGGGTCACAGATTGACTACTTCCTGTGCAAAGGTCTTCGACGAGGGCAGTGTCACATCCATGTCGATTCGTGTCATGCTATAGGGTCGGACCATGAGTGTATCAGCGCCAAGTTCACTATTCAGGCACCAAAGGTACATCGACGGCATCCTACAAGGCCTAGGGTCTGGGTGGGTTGCTCCGGGGTGGTCACTGAGATGAACCAGAGTGTTGCACATAACATGGCAAAGAAGTGCACCAAGCCCAAGCCTGGACAAGGGTATCGCGATACTGATGAAGTACGGCGGGCCTTCAGGGTGGCGAAGCTTTCGGGGTCGGCGGCATCTTGGAAGCAGGCCTTGAAACTTCGCAGACAAGCACGGAAGCAGTGGGAAGCAGCCAGGTTGAGTAGAGCCTCACAAGGGGATTGGTCGGCATTGAAGTCGTGCAGACCTAAGGCGAATGCGGGGTGGGACGTGGAGTTTGCAGTTTGCCAGCAAGGGGACCCTCACGAAGCAATTCACAGTCACCTTGCCGGGGTGTACTCTGGCAGCTCGCCGGACACAAGCAAGTACAAGTACCAGGGTGACTTCTTTCCTTTCACGGTGGAGGAACTTAGGGATGGTGTCTCCAGAATGAAGGCAGGCAAGGCGGTTGGTACGGACCTCACGTCGCAGGAACTCCTAGTGGGAGTGCTTCAGCTTGAAGGGGGAGAAGAACACATACTGCGATGGTACAACAAGGTGTTAGGCAGCCAATGTGTACCTCGACAGTGGAACGAGCCTCTCCTGGTAATGCTTCCTAAAGTGGCTGTGCCCACCCGCTGCAAGGAATTACGGCCTATTGCTATGGGAAGTGCAGTTGGAAAACTATTCGCCCGTATGTTGCTTACCAGAACGGCGGCCAAGATCTCACCTAAAACCCCAGCTCAATGCGCTGCCCCACACAGACAGACAGCTGACTATCTCTTTACGCTCCACAGGGTCTTTGAACTCTGCAGGGAGTGGGGGGCACCCCTCTGTGCGGTGAAGGTCGATCTTGCGAAAGCGTTTGACTGTGTTGACAGAGGTATGCTTCTCGGTAAATTGTCGGAGAGACTGGGGCCGTGTGCGGAGCTGGGATGTTGGGCTGCACTCTTGGGTGAGATTACCGGAACTTTACAGACACCTTGGGGATTGACCCTGCTGTCGATGCCCTCCGGCATAAAGCAGGGAGCAGTCGAGAGCCCCTCCTTTTTTGCCTTCATTGCTGAGGTGGCGTTGTCGGAAACTGCGGCCAAACACGGCTGGGGGCGGAGGGAGAAGCTCCTCGAGGGCATGAACCATGAGGAGTGTATGTTCATGGATGACACCATCTTGTGGGGGGCAGGGTGCCGTGCAGTTCAGACAAGGCTACAGGAGCTTTCTCGCCACTTACGAACCTTCGGGCTCATGGTCAACATCGCGAAGTGTCAACTATACTGTGGGCCTCAGTGTACAGGGGTTCAAAGGGTCAGCATTGATGGGGTAGCCTTGGAACCATCACCGCACCTGGATGTCATGGGGGTCCAGTTCAAGGTTGGAGCGACCATGATGGAAATGATCAGTCCTCTGGCGACACAGGCGAGGGGTAAGTTCTGGGAGATCAAACATGTCCTCAGGGCCAAGGGTAACCTGTACAAACGCATTCGCACTATGCAGAGAACGGTGGCGGCCTCGGCGCTGTGGTGTGCTAGTGCTTTTGCTCCAGATCGGAGTGCCATGGGGTTCCTGAACTCGGTCCAGATGCAACTTGTTGTGTGGATGATGCGGCTATCCAAGGGATCACATGAGGACTGGGGGGCCTACCGCAAACGGGTTTGGAGAGCCGCCCGTGCAGCCATACACCGATCGGGTGAAGAGAGGTGGTCCACCATATGGTTACGAAGATACTGGGGGTTTGCGGGGCACAGGGCTCGGGGTTTGGAGGGCGACTCGCCGGTGATCAGTGCTCTCTTTGAAGGGTTCAGAACCAAGAAATGGTGGGACAAGGAGAAGCTCGATCCCAACGGCATCAAACACCCTCACCACTTCGCTAGGCTTATGCAGATGGAGGGTCACTTGAACAGGGCTGCTGGTGGGGATTGGAGGGAAGTGGCTCGCGACAGAGCAAGATGGAGAGAACGAGAGGCTGAGTGGGTTCGTGCACAAGACCTACCGTGGGCCTCTGGTCGCCAAGACACTATTGAACAGTAATCGGATGCATGTGTGTAATTGAGTTGTTTCTTTCACTCCTGAGGGACAGTAGGGTTTGCAGTGGGCTTTGCTGCAATGCTGTGCCGTGAATGCCGTGGCTGGCCTGATTTCGCAGCGATTGCAGTAGCGTGTCTACTCTCGCCCTAGTGCTCAAGATGAGCATGCCTTTCGTCCTTTCATGTCTGAGCCTCTGGGCTCTCGGCCTGCTTTTCCCTAAGGGACGGGCTGCATCCATATCCGAGGATCTCCGCAGCATTTTGCCGGCGGAGCATGGCGTGCGGACGCCGCCAGTTCTACCTGTCCTTTGGCATGATTCAGCGCACGATGATGGAGGTGTGCGAGAGCTCACGGCCCTGATTCCCCTGCCTTACACGATCAGGGACTACCACGCCAAGGAGCATGGGCCCGTGGAGGCGCCGGCATCGCTTGACCTACGACCAGATCCGGCGCATGATGAAGGAGGTGTGCGGGAGCTGAAGGCCCTGACTCCCCTGCCGTACGCGATCAGGGACTACCACGCTGAGGAGCAAGGGGCTGTGGACACAGAGGGGAGCTGTTTCATGCAGCGCGGCGCCCCGGGGGAGCCTAGCTCAAGTGGACAGGAGCGTGATGTATCCACAATGCGCCGAGGAAACGATGAGAGCACCCTACCTGGGCGAGCTTATGTGCATGTCCTGCAGATGCTCGGGGGCGAGAGGGATCAACCGCCGTGGAACGAGGTGGCCACCATGGGAGGTGCCCCCGACGATGCTGAATTGGCCATCCGGCGAAGGGCTACGGATGCTATCTGCCGCTGGGAACAGTCCTCCACCTCACAGCTCTCCAGGCTACAAACAGGGGACCAGGGACGTGTGCAGGTGTGGCGCTCGATCCTTGCGAGAGTGGTGGACCGGTTGGATCCTAGGTACTCCGAGTTTGCTCGAATTTATCTTCGGTGGCTTCGGGACTACATTGGTGGCACCTTCAACTCCCAGGGATCACAGCAGATGTCGGTCGCGGAGGTCCAACTAGCCATGCAGATTGAGGAGGCTACGTACCAAGATTTTCAGCAAGCGATGGAGGGAATGGCAAATCCGGGGACAATGGTGCGAGTTGACATGCGAGCACGACGAGTTCAGATGACTGAGCTACGACGAGGACTGGGCGACGAGTTTCGGCGACTCCAAGCCAGTTCCCCTCAGTGGGGACTACAAGCCGAGCTACACCACCAGCTGGCGTGCAAAGGAGATGTGAGGTTCGCCTGCTTTGCTGTCACCCACCTCGGGGATGTCTACGGTGAACTACCAGCAGTGCACGGGAGGGACCGACGCCCTCCGGGTGGAAGACAGTGGGCAAAATGGGTCGTCATGGGGTTTTGGAACCACTACTGTCAGGAACTGGCAGCATCTGCGCCGATGGGAGGACACGGGCACACAGACAGGCCGAGGGCTACCAGCAGGTCGCGGTCGCCAGTGAATCGTGGTCGAGATGAGCCGGCCTCGTCAGATTCCGGGGGACTGAGTGATGAGACGTCGCTTGTGTCCCTGCCGATGTTTGCAGCAACGCTTCTCCAGTTTGCAGTGGTCTCTGGCTTTGACAGACCCTTCTTTCGGGGCCACGAGCCCTACTGGTACACGGAGATAGTGCGCAAGGCCGTGCTCCTCATTGAGAATGGGGCCGACTGGCACAGCTTATCTACTAGATTGGAGGAACAATTGCGAAGCAAAGGGGATGTGCGATTTACTGAGGAGACGCTCCTTTATGTCAACGGGATCTCCATGTGCCTCTCAGAGTACATCGATGGTGGGGGTGGGCCCGGTATGGGTCCACACATGCTTGTGGAGGCTGATGTGGTGACATGGCTTGAAGAGTCGATTGCGGCGATCAGACGGCACTGGTTTTGGCTGTTGTGCCCTGTTGCAGTGGCTAACCGTGACCTGGAGAGGGTCTTGGAGCAGACGCAGCACCCCACCAGGACCCTCAATGGGATGCTGTATGAGGATGAGGACAGTGAGGCCGAAAACTCCAGACTGTCGAGATCGAGAACCCCGCAAAGGGACGATGTGCGGCTGCGGCTAGGCCTCCGCCAACACCGCCGCACTCCGCGTCGAGATCGAGCAGAGGGTGAAGAAGGTGAGGAGGGGTCTCTTATGGACACTGGGGACAGGAAGTATAACAAAGGGCCGAGAACGGGAGAACATGGGCGAGGGGACCGTCGCCGTCGATTGGAGCCATCACGACCCTGGAACCGTCATCGTGATCGCTCCCGCACCCCTGAACGGAAGCCGAAGGCCAAGGCTAGGCCTGCCACGGCACAAAAGGAGAGGTGCACGGTGACTACGTCCACTCGGCGATTGGTCACTGACAGACCTGCACTTCCGCGCCCGGGACAGCCTGGATCCTCCACGGATGTGCCTGCCATTCGGCGGTTGGAGGAAGACCAAGCAGTGGACGCTTGGCGCTTCCTGCTCAACTTGGACAGTGAGAGCTTTGTTGGTGATGTAGATGTGGTCGCGGCGGAACAACCGCTATTACCTCCCACGGTGGCGAACATGGTGGAGGAAACAATGGCGGGCTATAGCGACCATGACAGGGCTGTGATGACAGTGGCTTTTGTCCGGTTTCTTCGTATGCTGATGAGTGAGGTCATGCAGTGCTTCGAGAGGGGAGTACGTGCCGGGGAAGCGGGCTTGCGAGGGGAAGTCCTGGTCGAGGTTCGCACGGAAGAGGAGGAGGGTGATGGAAACTCCCTCATGCAAAGGACGGTGACGGGGATCTTTGCTGGCGGCCAGGGACCTGTTCATCGATGGCACGTGCTACTCCAAAGGCTTCAGGCGGAACTGCACTCTATGGCAGCGGGGGATAGGCAAGCGAACATTGAGGGCCTCCGGAACAGGTTGAGTGGAGCTCCTGATGTGGATCCTGCACGTGGTGATCAGCTGCAAGCAGTGTTGGTAGCTATGAGCGATGCCGAAGACAACATGGTGGGGGTTGGAGACCTGACATGGCAGTTGGCGTGGTGGAGAAACTTGTTCGGAACACCGTTGTCTGAGGGAATGCCGGGGTCGAGCACTGACATACCGGTCTTAGATGAGCAGGATCTAGCGAGGCTCGCAGAAGACCAGGAAGAAGCTCGCCGTGAAAGGGAAGCCGAGACCAGAAAACGTGATTTGGAGCAAAGGGGGTACGAGGAGTTTGAGGACGGCTACCACCGCTACCAGGAGGCCCTCCAAGATGATGACCAGACCAAGCTCCGGCGCTTGAGCGCCCAGGAACACAAACAATGGGAGGACTGGCAGTGGCGCAACATCATGCAGGAGCCCAACCAGAAACGACGGCGCCATGTCCTCACTGTCACGGTCAGTGGACAGGTGGACAGCCATTCGGGATGGTTGTCGCGCACGCTGCAGCTCCCCTTACAAGGATCGGGACCGACGTCGCTACGGTTGGACCTCGCAGTGAACTCCGAGACGTGCCCGGATGAAGTGGAGACGGTTGTGCTGAACGAAGGTCGCTCGGAGAATGCGATGCCTGCTCCTGCCCCGGATGCTACAGTGGTGCATGAGGCTGGTGCTTCCACTACGAGCCTTGGTGGTGAGAGCGAGAGTGTGGGGGCAGAAGGACAGCACATGGTAAACATTGCGGGGCCGTTGACGATCCCGCCGGACCAGCAATCTACGCTCCCGTATGAGACGCAGCTCGAAGATGGCACCATGCGAGACCTAGCTTTCCAGGACTACGAAAAACTCTACAAGGAATGGAAGGAAGGTCGCCTCAGTGATGCTGATATTCGGGTAGCTGGAGGTCCAGGGCTCCTTGATCTGATGCAAAGCCAGCGTTTGTTGGACTATGAAGACGAAACCCAGGTGCAGCAGATGGAGAACTTGGACAGGGTGACCGCTCCACAGAACCACCTCTCGGACACTTATGTGGACTTCCCTGAAGAGCCGGAAGCAATCCCTATCACACCGAACGTGCACATGATGGACAGGGCCTTGGAAGGGATTCAAACCTCGGACGAGGAGTGATGTTACTTATGCCTGAAGAGGAGTACTACAAGAATGCTGAGGGTTTAAGTGGCTAAAATAGCTTCGAGGGCACCGCTGAAGGAGGCGGGTGCTGCATTTGCCGGTCTCCACAGGAGACTTCCGACTCAGATTCTGCAGACGGAAAAGGGCCCTTAAAAAAAAAAAACCCTAATCCCTAAACCCTAAACCCTAAACCCTAAACCCTAAACCCCTAAACCCCTACAGTCAAAAACCTAAAAGCCGCCTTGGCCCATTTTGTTTGCGGCTAGATGGGTCACCTCCGACGATCCGCCGACTCACAAACAGTACATTACATCTTGCAAGTCGTCTAGTACATTGCGCTACAGCGCTTTACGCTACAGTGAAGAATGGAAATCAGTATTCGTATTGATCTCATTTGCAGGATTTCATTACATGGCACTAGAGATAGACAGACGGACGGCCAGACAGACAGACGGAAAGAACACCAACGACACACCGACACACCCGCCTGCCTGCATGCCTGCCCTGCCTGCCTGCCGCCCCTCCCCTCCCCCACTCGATACCCACTTACCTACCTACACAAAAGCCAAGCACAAACATATATGAATATACTTTTCATATACGCATATATATATATATATATATATATGAGGAATAGGCAAGACAACTAGGATATCAGGCAAAGGTAACTAGGATACCAACTTCAAGGGGTTCTTGACTTCGTTGAAAGCTTCCTGGCAGTTTGTTGCTACATAAATTATGCATAGAGCTTTAAGCCCTACACACTTCGCCAACCCAGCAAACCACACAGACACAAGCTCCAAATTCCGTACAGGGTCGGCGCTGCACAACCCTGACTGAGTATGTCATCATAAGCAGCATCGCCGTCGTCATCATCAGCATCTCCGCCAACCATGGTCACCATCGGCCGTCAACAAATCATCAGCAACGACCTCATGCGTAATATCATTTTGGCTTGGAGCCGGTTCGAGTACACCACATGAGACAACTGATACTTAATCTGTGCAAAACCACGATGTTGATGTTTGCTTGTTTTTGCGGGCTGCGAGGGTCCTGTTGAAACCTAAATTTAAATCTGGCAACTGGTTAGAACAGGCCGTTACACCAATCAACCTGAACCGGAAATCGAAGAATGCTAGGCTGCAACTCTGGCCTTGCAAGGAAGCTGCCGAGTTCCAGAAACATACGAGTGCAAAGCGAAAGAAAACTATGTTAAACATGGTACAGTACAAACAGCCCGAACAGGTGTTCCGATGTTCGCTTAAGCTGACAACTATTCGCACCGCTCGCAACCCCGGACTCAGGAATCCCAAAAAAGCAAACCCGGTGCTATCAATGGCCCTGCAATGCCTTGCATCTTGGACACGGTTCGAAACAACAACAGAAGAATATTCAAGGAATGGGAAAAGCCTTCTTTCTGCAATTTGAATTTCCGGTGCAGCTGTCGCAATCGCGTGCGTTTTGATCTTGTAGGGCTTCAGGGTACAAGTTGCAAGTGTGTATACCTCCAGCTCATAAGAGCTGCTTGGAGATCGAGTTGACAAACATCTTGCGTGCTTAATACTGTCTTGGGTGCTGGGAGTGAAAACTGCAATCGAAACGCAAATGACATTTTATGACGGTTTACCGGAATTGATGAATACGTTGGTTTTGTACTGCTACTGCGCACTCATTTCCCTGTTTAGGCAGCGGCATAAATCCTCGGCGGCATTGCTTCCTTTGAACTCCGGCTTATGGCGGTCTTGCAATCTTGCTATCTTCAGCTTCTTGTGAGTGGCATGTGTTTCGGTTCAAAAGATCTGGCGCTGATAGTATAAAGTTTCTAGTTTGCAGCGCAGGTTTTAGAAAACCCAAATTTAACGAATGGAACAATTGGTCTATTAACAAGGTCCTTTTGCCCCAGGAGCTCCAAAATGCATGTTCTCAAAGCTTCCTACCTTGCGCCCCTGTGTCCTGACATTTCATTCATGATAGGAGGGAGACATTGGTTGCTCCGTTCCAATATGTTTCAAAAGCTAAATGTGACCCACAGTCGGACACAGTATTGCCAGTGCTTCTGGTCCCGGACCTGCCAAGACTGATGGGAGCAATGCATTTTCAGGGCTTGGGGCTCCAAAATGCCGCTTTCAATTTTTTCAAGCATATGCTATCTTGTGGCTTACATGTCTAGTAAACTCATACATGATTCGTGGAAAGCATTAGCCCGCGGTGCCTCCAATGCTGTTGAACCCTGGAGCTGCGAAAGCAACTGGAAACCCTATGATGTCCATGATTTTAGGAGCTCCGGGCGTTTCTCCTTCACGTGATGTGGTTTTGACCCATGTTCTTCCGCACTATAGTTGCAAAGACTTGCGAGCATTTTGGGGTCCGAGAACTTATCCAACTGGTGCCAAGAATTTCCTGTTTTCTGACCCAAATGTCTGGAAATCATGAAGTTGATGAAACATTTTGTTGTTCAATTTGTTGGGGATGCCTCGCAAAAACACTGTAGTTGTCCACAATGTTTCATGAAGTTTCCGATCCGTTTTAAGCGTGACATAGTGAAAGCTGGAAGATAGCGCGACCTCGAGACCGCCAACAACTTGTGTTGTCCCTGTCCTTTGAAATTGTTCAGAAGTTATGTCGACGAAAGCAACATTGGTTGACAAAATTGGAAAAACAAAGCCTGTTGTTGGGACATGATCCTCCGGAAGCATTGGGCAAGCTGGAGTGCTGCTGGGGACAACCATGCCAATTTTTGAAAAACCGTGCAAAACACTGCTCAGAGTCTGTTTTGGGATCGGGATGGTGGAATGCATTGGTCTGGTCAACAAGCACCATGGCCGTTGGCCATTGCCCCGGACTGACCGAAGTTTGGATCGAAGGTGGCAGGGGCAATGGGTTGCACCACCATCACGAGAAATCGCAACTATGCGATCTGGAGCTTTGTGCTCGTGCTGCACAGAGCAGTGGCTTGGGACTTGAGCCTGTTTCGGTCTGAGTCTGAGGTGAGTCGCCTTGGAGGTTTGTTGCAGTAGCTACTCAAAAGAAACAATTACAGTAAACCCGTCCGTCTGCATTTACAAGGCTCGTTGGAAGTGGTGGCTGGATATGGGCCGTGGGCACAAGTACTGAATCACCGAAGAGGTCGCACACGCGCTCGCACGCTCGAACACTGCTAAACGTTGGGGGCAACCAAGCAGGGGGAATCGCTTCAATCACTGCAGGTAGGGTCAGGTACGGGATGTTTGCGGGACACCTCGAGGGTGCTAGAAGAAAGTTTGAGAACATATATGATTCTTTTCCCCTGTAAGCTTCGTGATGACATAAAACAGATTGAGACAAGCACAAGCCAACAACTGTGAAGGCACGCAAACAACTGCGGAGGTGCATGTGAGATTCAACAACCGTGTCCATAACTGTGAGCAACTGTGCTCTTACAACATTTCTTGTTTGTGTTACGCCAACACTACCGCGCGACAGGGTGTATTTTGGTGGCAGCAGCTCATACAAACCAGGTAAACACGGGCTACAAGCTGCTACACAAACTGATGGTGGACCTTCGTAAAACGTGGATCAAAGCATCCGTTGTGACATACTGTGACAGTGCCACGCTGTCAGCAAGATGTTCACTCTGCTGGATCCGAAGCATGTGACCTGTTCTCTAGAGTTTTCGAAATGCCCTTATGACATAATGATTAGTTACTTGATGAAGACCGTTGTTTGCAAGCATCGTTATCACGAGCAACATGAACAGGAACAAGAGGAAAAAGGCACTGTAACTATCAGGAAACAGACATGGCAAACAGGATGGCGTGATAAACTTGGCGTGGAGATCAATGGACGGTGTCAACTGCGCATATGGTCAAACTTCTTTCAGCTGCATTTTTCATGTGTGTCCATCCAAAGACTCAATCAGTCGAGAGCGCCCTTCATTGACAAGAAAAGATTGCAACAGCTTTTGTTGTTTCATGCTTTGATACTGGAAGCGATAGGCAGGTACAAGTATAGCGAATACGACATACGGGAACCGCATCTAGAAGTATTGCTCAGACTGCGGGCACAAAGATGCACGAATACATGAGTTTCAATGGGTAATAACATGTGAACAACCTAAGACCTAAGAAGTACTCAAGCGCAGTTAAGTTTCGAACGAAACTGTATACCAGAGAAGATAATTATACGAGTACGCGTTTGCATTTGTACATGCATGTGTTTGCATTTTGGCGAATACAGAGGTTGTGATTGTGAACCTAGCTATCGAGGTGCTACTAGACCCGAGGTTTAACCTATTGCAGACCTGCAGATATGTTTCTGCTGGAGTAAAATGAGCTGTCTTTGGTGTTTACTCGGTGCATGTGAGCGCCTGCATAGGCAGGTACTTCTGACACATCGTCATGGAATGTGACGTGATTGTTGCTAGAGCCCGATGGCAACGAATGGTTGTCGTTGCGTCATCGTCTATTCAAACATTTGGTGTGGGATCCCCATGGCAAGACACAAAGCACACCGGAAGCATTCACAGCATGTTTCTTTCTTCTCCATAACCAAAATCGCGCAAACTAGCAGGCTTGGTAGCATGCTCGTGTTAACTGCTCTTGCTGGTTGTTCCTACATTATTTCCTCTGGCTGCAAGTCTTGGGAGACAAGGGTAAGACTCATTTCGACATCTACAAAGTGCTGGTGCCCTTGACCGTCCTTCTCCGGCAGCTGAACTGCGCGGCAGAGACTGCTGAGGCTGTTTAGGGGTGACAGGTAGTGCAGAGTTGAAATCAAATCCATGCCATCCCCCAACAAATAAACACGGAATCCCTCATGTTAGGAATACGTTTCTAAAGCATTGGCATGCATTCCCTGCTCCCTTCTTGTCACATCCAAACTGTAGGTCCCGTAGGTCCTTTACCAGAGCTTGCCTTGCAAAAAAAATCATCAAGGCCGTCAGCACAATCTGTATCATCACGGACCATTAGTTCGCTACCAGGGCAGACCTCACCATCTGTATAATCACCGGTAATCCC